ATTTTTAAAGGTTTCTGTAAACAAATTAGAAATAAAATACAATGCATAAATCAAATGCAAAAGATTTTTTTTAAGTTTATTTCAAATTAACAAGTTTTCAATCTGTATACTCAAAATGGCATATATATATATATATATATATATATATATATATATATATATATATATATATATATATATATATATATCACTATGCATTTATTATATGCATGGTTTATTGTATAATTCCACTCATAGATCTTGTGTATTGCGCTGATGAAACCTATATAACTAGAATAAACATGATTATATGTCAACTATGATTACATATGACAATTTCATTTGTATTGCGCACAGAAAAATAAAGCTAGAATTACCCTATACAGAACTAGAACACTGGTGCAATAACTACGACACAATCCGTAGCTATTGTGTAGTTATAAGCAGATAGATACAGAAAAATGTATGTATCATAATGGCCCGTGGCTAAATTATAGCTACAGCTAAGCTATAGAATCGCTATGGAATTTTCCGTAACTACATTAGCTATAGAATAGCTATGGAAATAAATAGTTACAGATTTCCTACAAAATAGTTACAAAATTGAATAGCTACGAAACTAAATAGCTACGGAATAACTACATATTCAAATAACTACGAAATAGCTGTGGAAGTAAATAGCTACAGTTTTTTATCCGTAGGGATTCTGTTGCTAATTAACTATAAAATAGCTACATATTAGCATCCATATCTATTCCGTAGCTACTCCGTATCTATTTTGTTACTAAATTAAATCGTCTCATTCTGTTGCTGATCCGTAGCCATTCCGTAAGTAATTAGCTACAAAAATTTTCCGTAGCTATTTTCCGTAGGAAAACCACCGATTTTCTAGTAGTGATATAACAAAATCACAGATAAATAAAGGTAAAAAAATAGGGCTTTATTGTTTTCGATTTTTCCTTAGATTAATCTTTGACGTTGAACATAATTCCTTGAGGAATAATTTATTTATCAACTCTATTTGTTATGTTAAAGTTCAACAACTCAAAATGATGAACGACTTCCAAGATTATTTAAATGAGTAAATTATACGAATGGTCCCTATGGTTTGGGGTAATTTGCGCGTTTGGTCCCTAACTTATTTTTTAACTCGGAAGGTCCCTACTGTTTGTTTTTGTTACGCGCTTGGTCCCTAATGTTTGTTTTTGTTACACGCTTGGTCCTTGTCTTACCCAAAATGACTATTATTTAAATACAAAAAAATGATGGGCAGATAAGATAAAGTGAAAAGGGTGGGATTGGGGTGTGTCTATTTAAATAGATTAAAAAATCAAAGGTAAAATAGTCTTTTTATGTATGATAGGGACCAAACGCGTAACAAAAACAAACAATAGGGACCTTCCGAATTAAAAATATAAATTAGGGACCAAATGCGCAAATTACCCTAAACCATAGGGACCATTCGAGTAATTTACCCTATTTAAATTTCATTGTCCTAATCAACCCGTACTTATATTATAAGTATATGCAATATCTAATTTAATTTATGTTTAATTACAAAATTATCTATACTTTCCTAATTTAATCATATCATTTGATCTTAAGAAGCTTTACACTGATAGATAGTTAACAATTAGTTGATTGGTTGTATTCCTTAAATAAGTTTGCTCTTACGCATCATATATATATATATATATATATATATATATATATATATATATATATATATATATATATATATATATATATATATATATATATATATATATATATATATTTTGGCACAAAACACTTTGGGGTAACGGCGAAAATGAGCAACGGATACACGTGTGTTTTCAAACAAAATGTGTTTCCTTAAAATATGTTAATCATTAAATTAATATATATAAAAAACATATTTTTTTTTCTTCATTTTTTAACGATCTAGTATTGTTAAATATATTATTTTATATAAATAAAATCCAAATTGATATGGTTTAATATATATATATATATATATATATATATATATATATATATATATATATATATATATATATATATATATAGTTTCGGCTCTCGTTATTTATAATTGAATAAAAATGCATCATATTTTTTATTACAGTACATTCATTATTTATTTATAAATAAAACATATACTTAATTATTTCTACAGTTTAAGTATCATTTATATATAAATATAGCATGTAATAAAGTTTCTTACCTAAAATGTATTTTTAAATCATATTTCGTCATATTTTATATATTCATATATATATATATATATATATATATATATATATATATATATATATATATATATATATATATATATATATATAAACATGTATATTAACTATCGTTAAATGTTATATTCATAGATGAATAAAACATTTATCAGATTTTTATTCAAGTTCATTTCTTATTCATATATGAATAAGAAGTATGTTAATAAAAGACGAAATGTTTTTAAAATTCGATTTTATTATTTATATATGAATAAAACATTTATCAGATCTTATTATTCATATATGTTTCATTCATATATGATGATGGTTAATTTGTAAACAAAAAAATTAAGCATACATTTTGTTCATAAGTAACGAACAAATACATAATAATAAAATATGATATACTTTTATTCACTTATAAATAACGAGTGCTGTAATTATAAAAAAAGTAAAAAAAAAATTTACTTAATTATAAAACTATATCAATATGGATATATATTTATTATGAATTTTGGTATATTTAAAATAGTTTTTCAATAAAAATAAATCGTTAAAAATTTTAAAAAAAAATTGTTTTTATATATACTAAAACAAGAATTAGCATAGTTAAAGGAAACATGTATGGTTTGAAAACAAATCTCTCATTCTCAGTCTTTTTTATTTTTCAATTAACTTTTATATATATATATATATATATATATATATATATATATATATATATATATATATATATATATATATATATATATATATATATATATATATATATACGGTCTGGTTCCGATGAGGATTATTTTTTCAATAAGGACACCATAAAAAAATTGAAAAATAAAAATAAAAAAACAATACAAATTATAAAATCAAGCATAATATTATATCTGAGAGAGAGAGAAATAGAAAAAAAAATTGAAAGATTAAAATTCAATTATAGATCATAAAAAATAAATCATGGATCTTAAAACTTATCAATGTTTCAGTTTTAATTATTCAATTTTTTTCTTCTGTTTTTTTCTCTCTGATATGATATAATTCTCGATTTTATGATTTATATATTATTTTATATTTTTTGAAGATTTACCCACGAGTCGTCATTGAAAAAAAGAATTCTCACCCGATCCACTATCTATATATATATATATATATATATATATATATATATATATATATATATATATATATATCAATACTACCTTATAAAAAAAATGTTAATATTTCTATAAATAGAATCAATATAATAATAATATTTTTTTAAGACGTTCAAATCTTTAAGCTTAAAGTACAACCAACTATTAATATAATAATATTATAATATATATCTTACAAATGATAATGCTAGGGATACAAATATTAAAAACACATTTAAATTAGTATTTTCTTATTTTTAGGGATTGAATTAGTTTTTTCATCAATTTTGAACCAACTTGTACTCCTAAAATATCTCTTCTCTGGTATCTGGTGCATTCGAAATCTGAAACACTTCTTTTCGACAAATCGTTTGAAATTTAAAAGCTCATTCAAATTGGAGTTCCCTAATTTTTTGCATAAAATATAGTTGATTGGAGATTAATTCAAATCTTCATCTCCTTTTCCTTCATGGAATCCACCACCACAATATTTTTTTGGTTTTGGCATTGCACTTTTTATTTTTGTGAAACCAATCGATAATGGTGCAAGTGTTCTTAGAAATATAACATGTCTCCGAATGGAACTAATTGTTTGAAAGAAACTATTCGCCACCGCCGCTTTGCGCGGGCAAACGGCTAGTATATATATATATATATATATATATATATATATATATATAGAGAGAGAGAGAGAGAGAGTTTATAACTAATCTGTTGTAAATAAGGTAAAACTGTGTGAAGAATTAGCAACGAACTTATTTAGGTTACTAATTATACACTAATCCGCCACATATGTTGTTATTACTCCGTATTATTTTTTGGTCGCTACGAAGCGATAGGAAATATCATTTGCTAATTGATTGGTGTCTAAAAGTCTCTTTTGTGGTTGTGCTTTAAACATGTTTGTAGAGTAAGTTATAGTTAATGTATTTAATTCCTTTAGGGGTATTATTTTGGTTCGAAATCAAAATATTTCTAATAATGACAGTGGAAAGATGTCCATGAAATTTAGTACATTTAGCTTTGGATCGAATTAGAATGACACTGAAAATTTATAGAAAATATATCTATAATTGTCAAGATCTAATTCTTACTTATATGACAATGAAATTAAGTGTATAAAAAGTATATTCTAAAATTGTTTTCATTCATTAAAATGTAACAAATTCCATTAAGATTATTCATCATACTATATCGGGAATGCTTTTATTATTATTATTTTTATTTGTACAAAAAATAAATAAAAAGTTAAAGCTGAGATAGAAAGAAGTTATCTTGTGACGCCCTATTTGAATATAGCAAAAGTAGTCATATAAAAGTTGAAAAACAAATGGTTAAATAAAAGTAGTTTTGAGTACTTCATATAAGAAGTCTTTTTATGGCATCTGTATCACAACAGGAACACAACTCATCATCATCATCACCATCACTATCACCACATTCAACAAGATCTCAATCACAGAAACACACACAATTCTTGAGAGAAATGAAAAGAAGAGAAGTGAAAGGACCCTCTTCGACAGATCTCTTGGTGTGTTTTCCAACAAGATCTCATCTTACATTAATGCCCAAGATGATTTGTAGTCCATCAAGATCCTCAAACATATAAAACCACCGTCATTTGCACCACCACAACCATGGGAAATCTATTGGTGATACTGGTGGTCTATGGTATAAAAAGAACCAAATGGGGTCAGAGTTATCCGAGCCGACTTCTCCAAAAGTGACATGTGCAAGACAGATCAAGGGTCGACCAAAGTCCGTACCATGCAAGGATTTGCAATCGGTAATGGAAGAGATTGAGAGGCTTCATAATAACAAGAACCCTAGAAAGAAAACTACTTGGGGCAGAGCATTAGGGTTCAAGAAAGAATCCATGCAATTCGTGACATGTTTAAAGAGTTTTAAGCTTGATTTGGGATGTTTTGGTGCATTTCCGCATGCAAATGGTACTTCAGATGATGAAGTGGAAGATGATGCTGATAAGGAAGAGATTAATCATGAAAAGAAAGTAATGGGGTTTAGAGGGTATGATCTTGAACATGATGATGATGATGATGATGATGATGATGATGATGATGATAGTGAAGAGGGATCATCCAAAAGTGCATTTTCCAAAAAATTTATGGTTTTGGAGAAGAAACATGATTTTCGGTTACTTGAAAAAGAAGGAATTGATAAAACAAAATATGATGATCATGAGCATCAAGCTCCATGTACACCACCGTCAAATGCACTCTTGTTGATGGGATGTTGTTCTGCACCTGCAAAAAGCTGGTTAGAAGAGAAAGAAGAAGAAGAAGTTGATGGGGATGAGGATGATAATGATGGTAAAAAACATGATAATAATGATAGTGCAGATGATGGTCATGATGAGATGAAAGGGGAAAATTTGATGGAAGTAATGAAATTTGAAGGAGATTTTTACAAATTATCGTGTGATATCGCAAAAGAAACGTGGGTTGCTGCTGGAATTAACAAGGATCCGTTTTCAATAACTCAAAGTTCAAAAAGATATTCGACAGAATGTCTTCTAGAAGTTAAAGCTTGTTTACAATGATGAATTAAGACAGGGAAATGCGAAATATTTCAACGTTGGTGCACTCAATTTTAGATCAGATTTTTAATGATCATGATTCATGAAGTTGTTTTACTTGCATTTTTTTATTGTTATTTGTTTTTAGAGATTTTTATAACCATATATGTATAGTTGTCATATGTTATCTAATTTTAATTATTTTCTTTTACAAATATCGATTATTATACAGTATTGCTTTAATTTAGTTCAGTCGTAATAATATTTTCGTTATTTTTTTTAAACATAAAATGAATGATAGTAATCGGGGCGAATCTAAAAAGTTTTTTTAAGTGTTCATAAATCATCTATAAACAAATTCAAGAGAAAGACAGATCCATAGACAGCAAAAGAAGACTTTCGCTAAATAAGAAAGAGTTGCACAAGAGAAGTATTAGAAATGTCATAAAGCACAACCAAGATCCGTTTGTAGCAATTTTTCTATCAATTACTTTCCTTGCCATCTTGATTGGCACTCCGAACCTTACATTTCTTGAACAAAATTGGGAAGATAGTTTATTAGAATTTACTAGAATATTATTGATGGATTACAATAAAAAATAAAAATTTAAATGAGATCATCCAATTTTTGTAGTAGCTAAAGATTTTTTTTCATCAACATTTAAAAAAATAAATAAATAAGGATGTACTTGTATGTATACACCACACACATATATCACATTATTGTCAACTCATTTAACGGTGCACGATGTGGAATGTTTTTGGCAGGAAAACGCCACTGGTGTTGGTGGCCCTTGTGCTAGCGGGTTTGGAACAGTGACCATAGGCAAGTTCACGAAAGCATTGAAGTCGTTGGAGAAGGCATTCTTTCTACTTGAAAAATAACAACGTAACGAAGAAAACACTATAAGGAGGATCTAAACTTAGGAGAGAGAGAGAGAGAGAGAGAGAGAGAGAGAGAGAGAATGAGGACTAAAAATTTGATGAGGACCACAAAGACAAATCTTGGAAGTTCACTTGAAAAATTGAATGATTTTGATTTATTGTATAAAAATAATTACTTCTTAAATTGTAAGAGGTTGTTTGTGTGAATTTTCGAAAAAAAAGAGGGTGAAACAAAGAAAAGGGGAGGACATAGCTACTTTTCCCACAATTGCTCTCCACCGGTCGAATGTGCCACACACCGTTTGTAACGATCCAAAATTTCAATGTAAAGATTTTGTTTTGAATTCAACCATAGAAAAACATTTAGTAATACAAATCATTCAAAAATATATTAATGTAAAAACAGTTATTAAAGTACAATCTCAAAGACTAATAAGTTGCGGAAGATATTGGTGGATATGAGTCACGTCGCGCCCTTCCCTTCCGATCCGGAAGTATCTTAAACTCTAAACATAAACTGTAAGCACAAAAGTTGGTAAGTTCTCCAAAATACCACATACCATACATATGATAGAGAATGCTATGAGCCAATCACAGTCTTGCCATTATGATATGATCCGTAACATGGTCTTTCCTTGCCAGGTCTGGGGCCAAAATCTTGGGTCTTACAAACAAGTGCCAAGAGCCACCTCCTAGTATTCCATGTAAGCATCACAAAGACAACTAACATACAATTGTTGGATTAAGTATCTAAGCCCATAACTATAATTGATATGTACTTGACCTGATAGTAGCATTGTCCTTTTGGGTTGCATTCACCAGAGCAATTTGATAGGATGAATATTTGAGAAAGAGGTTATTTGTGATTTATTAATATATTAGATGAATAATATATTAATTGAGAAATCATATTATTTAATTGGTGTTGATTAAGAATTAATTTAATGATCAAAAGATATTGATTAAATTTACGAGGACTGATTCGGTAAATCAGTAATACTTATACTTTGGGCTAATGATCCATGTTAATTAGGGATGGGCTAAATCTATGTGAGAGTCCGTTAACAGTTAGTCCAAAGGGCCTATCACATGGATCGTTGAAATACCTAAAGGTTTAGGTAAATTAGAGTTTACAAGTTGAGACCCTAGGAATTCCACACTATAAAAGTAACCCTTGCACTCCTATAATCGTGACTTGTGTTCTAAGAAGAAACCCTAGCTGATTTTGGTGCATCCTAACCTAACTCTCTCTCTCTCTCTCTCTCATATTTCTCAAATTTTTTTTGTTGTTTTGTGACACATTAAAGGTATCACACTTGAGGTACTAAGCTCTTTAAAGGCCAATAACTACACGCTACAACAAAGAGGTATTCATCTAACTGGTTCTTATGTTTTATATCTCCAATTGCATGGTAGCTAGGGTATATGATTTAGATAAAATGAAATTGCATGTATAACTTGAGAAAACTTAGATCTAAAGCAATAGGTTGTATGAGCACCATAGAGATGTTATAGTGCCCAAAAACCATTAGTGGTATCAGAGCCTAGGGTGTTTTCTATTATGTAGATGCATTGGTTAATTTTTCAAAGCTGAAAGAGTTTCATTTTTGCCTCTGACTGCTGGACTCGATGAGTTCCATGTGGGAACTTGACGAGTTGGATCATCTGGTGATGAATTCAACGAGTCCATGCTCTTACTCGACGAGTTGGACCACCTGTTGATAGATTTTTCGAGTTTTTTGGCCTGAATTGGATTAGGATAATTGCCACAAACTATTTTGATTCATAAAATTTGATTTTTCTGATATGGTAGTGATTATCCTCATCCAATTAAAAGATAAATTGTCATAATTTTAGATAATTATTTGATTAAATGATAAGTTGATTATTTTTATTATTTGATTGGATTTGTCTTGCTATTTGAGTTGAATTAGGTCAAATTAGCAAAAGATAAATTATATGAATATTTTATTAGTTTAGAAAAAAAATGATGTAAAAGATTTTGAAGAGTTTCAAAATTTTCCCTGAGTTTTGGAATTTGAAAAGTCTTAATTATGAAATATTAAATTCTAAAACCCTGGTAATTTAGAAATGTTCAAAAGTGCACATCTTGGTTTTGTAACTTACAATTTAATTAAATAGCCTTAATTTTGAAATCTTAAATTTAGAACCTTGATATTTTGAATAGTTCAAATTACACCCTTATGGTTTTACTAAATTTATTAAGTTCTTAATTAAAAGAGAGAATTAATAAATCCATAACAACATGGTTTAAAATTAATTAAATTAAAAGCTTAATTTATTAAATGATTAAACCACCTAGTATTTCAAAAGTTTAAAATACTCCCTTATACTATATAAATATAAAAGTTTAATATATTAAATATGTATAAGTAAAATGTCAGTCTTACCATTAGTAGGTCTCATTCACAAAGTTGATCTATAAGAGGTGTTTAAAAAAATTACCTATCAAATGGCGATTAAATGGGTGTCCACTCTCACCCAACGCACACTTGACCGGTGGGGGTCGTTAGCCAAATGGGTATGATAGAGCAAAATTTTTCATTAATAAGTAGAATGAAAAACAGGTAACTAAATGTTTTATAAATTCTCAATCTTAGTTACGTAGGAAAAATGTAAATTTGGTGCTAATCCATGAAATTGCACATTTCACCTTATAGGTCGTTAGTGGAGCGTGTGTGGTTAACCTGCACACTAATATGGAATTAATGGAGGATGGAAGTGGGTAGCTCGTCGGTTATCATAGATTAATGGAGTGTGTGTGGTTAACCGACACATTGATTAAGTGATAAATGAGTTTGAGAATACCAAGCTAATTTTCATGGTTATTCACACCTTGTTTGTCATCGTCGGTATCCCAGTCACAAAATTGAAGGGCATAATCGAGATTAAACTTGCCATTGAAAGGTTCAATGCATCTCAAAAGATCTAGGGGTTTCATTTAAAACTTAATTCATTTAAAAATTTCATTTTCGTGGTGGAATTAGTAAATCGTCATTTACCTACCGATAAAGAATTTATAATTGGATTATGGCATCCCTCTTCGGAATTGTAAATTATTGTGTTGGGTCCTAGTCATAATATTTTATTTGGGTGTTATATTAAGCATTGAATCAACTACCTTGAATTTCTCCCGTTGTAGATGTCTATTTCTAACAACTATGGTCTACGTTATCCGTTTAGAAAAAGCTTTCCTCATAAAGATGATATCCCGCATTTTGATCAAGGAACTAGAAATCATACTTCACTTCCTCCACCTACTCCAAATATTCTCCCTGACCCATGTGTTCGTCAACTTGAAAAGTTCATGGTCACTCAAACCCTATTGTCAAGCTAACACATCGATGGAAAGTCGGTATGTGCTCACGTCTTGGAGATGCAGTTGTATATTGACAGGCTAGGAATGTTGGGTGTCATTTTCCTGAGGAAGTTGGTTGTTGACTTGATTCTTCAGTCACTTCTCGAGTCGTATGGTCAGGTTGTTAAAGGCTACTATATCACAGATCACGACGTGACCCTTATTGATCTTACATATTTGCTAATTGTTGTTGAATCAACGATGATTTGGTGCACTGGTCAAGTGAATTTGATTGGAAGATCTACATTGCAAATTGTGATGGACATAGGAAATGAGATAGACATCCTAGAAATGATTCCTTTTCCTAAGGGAAAGGAATTGACCATGGTCAAAGGATTTGACCATAAGAGAAAAGCCAGTTCTGAGATAGTTTCATGTGCGAATGCCAATGATTCCACTTATTTCTACTGCTATTTAAAGGGACATTGGAAGCGAAGATGCTCTGGCTACTTGAGAGATCTAAGAGAGGGTAAAATCAAATTGTATGGTTCTACTTCAGGTAAGTCCACTATCTAACTCTATTAAGTTCCTATTTATAGATTCTTAGTACATATGTATTATCGAAGAAAAGAAAGGAAGCTTAAAGGAAGAATAAGTCGATTCTGGTCGCGAAAATATGGATTTCGATCGCATGGTTCAATGATCAGATTTTTGAGCTACTGCTTAAGATTTATGATAGATTGCTTCAGAATATTTAGAAACATCGTTTCGCATGTGTTTGCATTGTAAGGACAAGTTTTCCATATTTTATAAATAAATA